ATGGCCCCAGCCCAGCAGGTCAATCCATGGTGGGGAGGGGATGGGGGCTAGATCGAGGCCCCTGTGGTGAGGGACAGTGCCACAGAGGCAGGAGCAGGGGTAAATTGAGTGGGACTTACCTGCTGGGGAGGCACACCCCCAAATATTTTTCTCCCTCTGCCTTGATCTGCCCCACCCTCCCTTCCCCACAGACATACCTGCTGGGCAGGGGTGGAGGGGTGGTGGCTTATGGTAGATCTTGGGTTGCTTTTAAATGCCAAAGGTTGGAGACCACTGTATTAGACCAACTAAATAGCTGGAAAAATTGTTCTTTGCAAGTTTTGGGGTACAAACACCCTTTTTCCCTCTCCCTCTGCCTGAAGAAGGGTGCTTGTACCTGAAAGCTTGCAAAGAACAGTTTTTCCAACTATTTAGTTTAAAAAAAGATATCACATTTACCCAAAGAACCTTGTCTACTTAAGCTGACAGGAGTTTTACTTGTATTTTCCACCTTACAGTGATTTTGTTATGTAGCTTCACTCTCGTGGCTGTATTATGCCTTCCAGGTAGAGTTTAGATTATAGTTTGGTTTGTATGGGATGGTTTGGATAGGGGTGTTGCTGCCTCAGGAAGGGGGTTGGACTAGATGACCTCTGGAGGTCCCTGCCAGCCCTGCTTCTTGATGACTCTAGGTACATTTCTGAGTTGCTGCTGTAAATATTGCACCAGCCCAGGAGCGGCCACAGATGCTCATCAAAGATCCCTCTATCCTCAGGTGCATAAGTTCCTCCCTTTGTAGAAGGAGGCAGGAATTTGGTACAAGCTTGTAGCAAAAGAATTGACTGTAGAGGAACCAGTTATGAGCCATTTCACCTCACTGTGCTTCTACCCCTTATTGTAGCTAAATGTTGAACATCACTCTCCTATTTTTTTTTTCAAGTGACATCAAAAGTTAGTTTTATACTATGAAGTCCATGCAATTGAAGGCATTGAGTCCTTAAATTCTAAGACAAAATTCAATTTTTAAATGTTTTCTAAGATTAAAACAAATGTCTAGATAACTATCTTTCCTCTCTCCTTCCCCTCCCCTGCCTTTCTTAGGGCAAATTTCTGCTCTTGGTGACACACACCAAACTCCTATTAAATTGGTAAGGACTGCAACAACTATCTGAAGCCAGAACTTATTAACTTAAAATACCATAAACAATGGCTGTGCTATCTCCTGAACCAAGACCTTTCAGTCAACCTAGAGTACATTTTACTGCCTTGATTTAAATCTCTAGAAATGTTTACAATGGAAAATGCTGACAATCTTGTAACTGTGTGGTCAGAGTGATGACAGACTTCAGGAGCTCTGTGGATAAAGCACAGAGATGGAAAGCATTATAATTCTGTTTACACACCTGCCTCATGTGGAAATTATTCCTCAACATTTAAAATTGTTCAGCTTGATGCAGCCGAACTGAGTGATAGAGGAAATATAACTGCAGCTGCATTTTTGAGTCATGCAGAAGGTATTAAAAGCGCAAGTAACTTAGGTTCAGATGTTTCAGGGATGCATTTGGTAGCTCTGTTGGTCCGAGACATAAAGAAATGCAAAACTCTAGAACTCTTGGTTCAGAGATGATATATTTTATTAGACTTAGGTGGTCTAAGAAATTGCAAAAAAAAATTATTTTTTTTTGGTAATTTCTTTTTGGTTTAATAAAAGATATATCTCTGAACCAAGAGTTCTAGAGTTTTGCATTTCTTTTAGATTCAGATGCTGTTTTTCCCCTCTCTGAGAGCTAAATTGTGGGGTTGTCCTCAGGGTTTCTTTCAGATTTCCCTCAGAGGCATGAGGCTTTCCCCCAAGTCTGGAAGATTCCCCAGTGCTTTTCTGTCAGAGGTCCATGGTCATCAGGTGCTATGCCCCTGCATTATCTCCCTCTGGCTCTGCCTTGGTTCCCTATCTGTATGGTCGTAGGACTGGGTTTCCTCTATGAGAATGTACCACGGAAAACTCTCAGAAACTCAAAAGTTTGGAGTAAATACCCAATAGGCATAAACCAGGCATTTCTTCCCCTCTCTCTCACTTGGCTTCCAGCCCTGAAGAGGGTTCTCCATGTAGGATGCAAGAAGAGGGTGACACTGTGGGTGCTGACAGATGGGCAACTTCCTGGTCTAATTCATGGCACTTATAAGTTAGACCTACCCTCCCGACCCAACAGATGTTCACTGTTGGATTGGGAGGGTGGATGATCAAGCTGCACTTTGGAGCTGATCCAGGGAGAGAGGCTGCTTGTCTGCACTGTCTGTCCCCTAGTCCCATCCCCCTCTCCAAATTCCTTTCTCAGGATGGGGAGGCAGGGGAGGGAGGTCTGCTTTGAGGTTTCCCCAGTCTGCTGTTGCCCTGCAGTGGGGCGGGGAGGGGTGTGAATGGGAGCCCCCCACCTTGAAGCACTGGCTGGGCAACCCCCAGAACAAACTCACTCCTCACCCTTCTCCTCTCCCATTGTGAAGAAAGTGCCTGGAGCAGGGCTACCGGGCATTAATTAAAGTGTTTTGCTTTGCAGTGCTTTCATTTAAACTCTCATATTGGCATTTTTAAAGTGCTCTGCAGCTGTGCACTTCTGTCAGTGCACAGCTGCAGAGCGCTTTTAGTGGCTGATTGCTCGACAAACCATCACATCTGTCAGCACCTTGTGAAAGAAGGTCTCTCCACCTTTCCTCCAGGCTGGGAAACTGTAGAAGGAGATAAAGAGATCTGTGTGCCTAGTGCTTCTATTTTTGTTGTATTAATACTCTTTATTTTCTGCAGTAGAACAGAACAAGCCCTAAGACAGAACGGAGACATGTTTTGACCTTACATCATACCTTTGCTGTAGACCTCCAGCACTATTAAAATCCACATAAAATGCCTGTCTGTGTAACATGCTTTTTTTTTTTTTTTATGGAGAACACTCTTGTAGAAAGAGTATCTTAAGTTTCAGGCACAAGTGACTCTCAAGAATGTGTCAGTATTTCCATTAGACTTTATTTCTAGTGGTTAATCATAAGCGGGGAGTGGATTCAGGGGAGGAGGAGGTTACTTACAGAGTGAGACCACATTGTGGTGTAGAACAAATTGTAAGTACCAAATTTCATTAGAACGTTAAGGGGAAAAAAACTTTGGTTTATGATGTGTTGGAACTAACTCCTATTTGGCAGCTCACTGACGCTGAGCAAGATCCAGACTTTTAAAATTTGAGTTCAAAATGGCCAAGTAATTAACATTTAGGAGGGAAAAGGTGTTACTTCTTGTCTAGTAGTAGTTGCAAAGAAGTCAAATATTAGGTACCTCCTTCCCACTAAGGCCACAGACAGGCATCTATTTCTACCAGTCATAATTTCACAGAAATTCTTACTGGTAGAAGACCCAGGAGCAGGAGCATACATGCATTACAGACCCCTGGCTGGAGGTCTACACAGGCCAGCTGTCCAGCCAGGGGGCATTAGGGGGCTCCTCCCTTGCCTTTGGGGGAGCTCATTACTTGATAGCTTGTCCTCTGCCCTGCCTGAAATGGGGGCAGGTTGTTAAGAGAGACCCCCCTCCTTCCCCTGCTTTTAAAATCACATTGTGTGACACCCAAATGGATGGCACATGCTGCATTTAAAGCCCTTGGGGCCAGCAACTGCATCAGGGGCAGCTCTCCCTGTCCTGATTCCCAGATGGAGGCGCTTTAAATGCTTCTATACCCCCCAGCTGGGCAACACAGGCAGCACTTTCAGAGTCCACGGAGCCAGCAATTGCAATGGGGAAAGCTTATGTCACTGCAGTTCCCATCCTCATGGGCTTTAAATTCTGCCTGCAGATGGAGCAGCCAGGGAACTCCACCCCCACCTGCTCTTGAGACTGCTTCTCTGCTCTGTTCTTGGTTGCCTCCTCCTAGGGCTTTCATTAGATCTTCCTCTTACATTGCTCTCTGTTCAGTTTATGTGGGTCTTGCTTCTATTCTGCCTCCTAAGAATTTTCCTTTTTACTCCATCTTTTAAATTCAGTTATGCTGAGAAGCTTTTCATTTGCAATCCACTTGGGAAAACAGTATTTTAAACTGTACCATTTCTGAGCTTTGATATTCCTATAGATAACTACTGTACTGTAATTGTACTGCCTGCCCCACACCATCAATGTGTCCCACTGCTGCCTCTGCCCCTTGCTGCCTCCACCCCTCCAACTATCCCCTACTGCCTTTGCCCTTGGCCATTTCTGCCCTTCCTCTGCTGCTACCTCCTTCCCCACCCTGTCACTTACCTTAAGTTGTTGTTCTGACTCCAGCCTGGGCATGGAGCACATGCTGGCTCTGGCTCTCACCTGGACAGGAAGCGGTGGCAGTAACAACTCCAACCCTGGGGCTGGGGCTGGAGCTAGAGCTGCTGCCTGACTGAGCAATGGCTGGAGCCACCATGTGCTCTGTGCCTCAGGCTGGAGCTTGAGCCATGGCTTAGGGTAAACAGTGGTGATGAGAGTGTGTGTGGGGATGGGGGGGGCAAGTGGGGAGGGCAAGTGACAGCGGGGGGCAGTCACCAGGGGGACAGACATCATGAGGGAGTGAAGGCAAGAGGGAGGCAGGAAAGGTGGGAGTAAGTGGTGGGAAAGCAGGTGCCAGAAGGCAAGTGGTGGAGGGAACAGGCAACAGAGGGCAAGGTGCAGGGGGGCAGGCTGCTTCACTCCCCCACAGCCTGTTCCCCACCACTGCCTGCCCACGGACGCTGGATTTCCCTGTCACAGCAGTAAGGGGAATGAATTTAAAATGACCTTCCAATAATCAGATTCTGTACATGGAATATTATGAAACATTTATACATTTTCCTGTGTGTTGAATCTAATTATTGGAGTGTCATCTTAAATTTGAAGTCATCTCAGAGTCAGGTAAATATGGTATAATATGCCATGAATTAGACCGAGGCAAAAACAGCTTTGCCTGTTCTGCTTTGCTGATCATTGCTGATTTTCTGTTTTACGCAAAATGTATTGATCACTGATTTATTGGATCTGTTAGATGGAGGCTGAAGAAGAAGGGAGTAAAAAAGTATCAGAAGATGACTTTGAAAACTTACCTACCAGCTATCACAATGAATCCAACACAGAAACCAGAATTGGTAACAAAACCATTCAGACTCATCAGGAAATTGACAAGGTATGGGACATCCATTCTCTACAACTTCTAATGCTGTTTCAGATCTGCCTTTATAATGAGCAGATAGGAGCATTAGTGAAAAATGATTAATGATTACTACTTAGTTATCATGGCAGTGAAATAAATCTCATTGCATAATAATCCATGGTGAATGTAGAATACATATTTGAAACTTACATAGAGCATAAGTGTGATCACTGTTCAAAGCTTTCTTTGTTATGTTCTTTAGTACTAATTTGGCCTTCTGAAAAGATTAGTAGGATTCATCTTCAATGATTTTTTCCAGATGTAGTCAAAATCCTGGGGCCATAAAATAAAATCCCAGGGCCACGGAAAATAAAAATAGGATTAACATTAGGAGAACATTAGACTAAATAGTAACAGTACTAAAATAGCACCCTAATTAATGTAATATATTGTTTCTGTTTTGCCATATTAGGTTATAGATAACAAAACTGGATCAACAGTCTATTCTGAGACAGTTATTACATCTATAAAAGATGGAGAGATCAAAAGGAATCATGTAAGTGAAGACCTCTTTCACCTTTCTGAAAATTAAACTAAAAATGTGAGTTAATTGTTCAGAATGAAGCAATAGAATTTATTTAGCCCAAACAAACTTTTAAATATTTAAAACAATACAACAGAAAAACCACATGGGTCAGTTAAACCAATAATAATTTAACTTTACCAGGGAATATCAGTGGTAGACTGGCATTTTTTTTATTTTACTCACAGAAGCAAGTCAGATGGTAGCTGCTTTACGAATCAACTTGCCCTCATTATTTACACAAAATGCCTAAAGAAATCAGTGGGAGTCTTGCCTGAGAAAACACAGCATAATCTGGTTTATATAGTTGTCATGTCTGAAATTCAGCCATCTCTCATTTATGGAGAACACCAGAGTAGGTGGTTTCTTTACTGTGTCTTTTGGCTGCTGCGTGGTGTCATTCAGTCAGATATCTGTCTCAGCAGCATTACCTAGCAGGCTTATGGCTAGGAGAAATAAACTGGAATCCATTGTCTGAATGCATATAAAAAATCCCAATAGCTTCTATTCTACAATATGTTTTGTTAGCTAGTCCCACAAGTTATATTATAAACAGGAAAGGAGAGTTCTAATACTGTGGTTAACAGCAATGGTTGATATAAAGATTTCATTTACATGAGCCAGGTTGAATGCTGTACTCTAGTACCAAAGCCACGTCTTAGTTACACAGATTTTTCCAATGAGTGCTAATAAATCTTTGACACCATGAAACTCCAGAGATATTCTTGGACTTATATGTTATAAGAAAAGAGTTCTAAGAGTTTTAGATGTTGGTACTTTTCATATCACTCTCCTACTTCTGTTTTTCACCTCCCTCTTTCCTTATTCAAATGGTTATAACAGTCATTTTTTCAAAGGTGCCCATAAGTGGCCAGATAACAGTTAACTATAAGAACCAATTCCCCCTCCCCTCTTCCCTACTACAGCAAAACTGCAACTCAGTCTAATGTACATACTTCAGAATGGGGTTGTGGAGTTTTATTCTAGTATAGGAGGAGAAAACAACCCTATGTCTGTATTCTTTTATTTTTAAAAAGATGTTGGAGGTCGATGAATGAGTTGAAATGTTAGTTACTACTTCTCTGACTACTCATAATGAGTATTGCATTCTGGGAAAAATCCTTCCAAGTGGAGTGGGAAAGGGGCAGGAGCAGTGCCAAACACTGGAGAGTAGGGGGTGGTCAGTCTTACCTGCCCTAGGGACTCAAAAGACCCTTGCTGTTGTGGCCATGTTGCTCCCCGCCAGCCCCTGGCTGCTGCTACAGCATTTCCCAATCTGGTTGTTACTGCTACAGGACGGGGTTGCTGCTGCTGTTATGGCAAAAACTCTAGGGATTTCCATTCGTGCACTCCGTCTATATTGACACTTGCAGCTAGTACCCCACTTGCTAACTCCATTACTTGGACTAGCTGTGATTTCATTCTTGCAGATGTTTGCATGCATGCATGCATTTACACTATTGTGAGGGGTCATATTGAAGACGCTGGCCACGTCTACACGAAACACTGACTGCGCGGTTGTTACTGTGCAGTCATTTAGTACTTGCATACACAAGTGCTAAATGACTGTGCAGTAACTGGAGTCATTGTGCACTTGTGCAATAGTGTCACCACATAGCTTTTTGGTGATTCAGGATGTTTAAGGCATGCGGGATTAAAGCCTTAGTGGACAGAATGCAGATAAGGTGATCAGTAATGCAAGAAACTGTGGAACCATGTGATAAATTGAACTCATCTAAAGGATATCACTGTGTGTGTACAGGATTTAGCTTTTCAGCTGAGAGAACTACTCTTTTAGGCAGAAAAGAATAACAGTGTTAACACTAAAAGGGTAGTGGATCTAAAAACTACCTGTCCCGTGATAAATCTTTTATTTATTACTATATGACAGCCTAGACTCTTGGATTTTGTTTTTGCTGTGGGCGTGGATGTGTGTTTTAATATCTCTTCTAAAGTTGATTTTGTTTTTGACAGACTAGTTTTGTCTCTTGTCTTGGTCAAACTGCTGGTTCAATCCTCCTGTGGGAAGCTGTGCAGAATAATAAGATTCCTTTGTGTTTTACTGCCTCTTTATCTGATTCTCAAACTTGAATTCAGATTGTTCTCTTAGCATCAGTATGAAAACTTATCTCCATGCAGTTGATTAAATATGAGATGGAAGAGGATAGTTATCTCACTTTTACTGAGAGGTATAACTGCATTCAAATACAATGAACTTTTAAGAATTTCTCATTAACACTTTCATGAATATTTACATTCACAATCCCAACAACTAGATAATTTAGGTTAGACTCTTCAGGTGGGCGTATGTTGGCAGTTATTAGAAATAACTTATGTCTGACAGTTTGTTGGTATCCTTTTCAAAATTAAATTGGCTCCATCTACTTCCTAGTCGATATGTGTCTATACTAAGGGTACAATACTCCCCTCAAAACTGGTACCAACTTAAATGATTGTCAATATTCCATTTCCCTTGGTTTCAATATCCAAAAACTGAATAGATAAACCACCTGGTCATTCCTGGAGTCTGTCACCAGGAATATGCTGGCAGCCAAATTTTAAGTCTCACCATATTTACACTAATGTGGTTATAGCGTCAGTATATGTTGTTTCTTGAAACAGTTGTTGGATTTTCTCCAGCAAGATCCAGGAGACAGTTTAGTTTCATCTAACTGAACTCTTCTCTCCCTAGAGCAGAGTTCACTGGACTTCTATTAAAATAGTTGGCTTTATAGGAAAAGTAATTTGTGGAATACATACGTTGAAAACTGCAAAGATGCAAGTGCTTGCTGGCTTTTTTTTAAAAATTAATATGCCCTTGTTTAATTCTCTCATGGAAAAAAAATCTATAAGATGTTAGCAAGGGAGACGCATATTAGACAAGGGAGACCCAGTAATGGCTTTAGGTTTTACAGTTATTTTCAGAAGGTAAACTTAAAGTTGATGTGTATTTTTTAGTTGAATAAATTATCTCCAGACAAGTAAAATTGTCCTTATTTCAGCATATATTTTGTTATTTTATTATAGCTACATGTTTACTATTTACCCTTCAGCTTGCATGTAGACATTATACTGAAGTTATCTTAAGTGCTGCATGCTAATTTTTTCTTATAATTTTTTCCCCCATGCTATATTGACAGGTAGTATTGTTAATGATACAACACTGTACGCATATGGCTAGAATATATACAAAATATGTTATTGTCTATAAAACTATATTCTAATCCAAGATAGATATAGCATCTGATATTTTATCCCAAACTCTTCACAATAATGGGGACACTATAATGCAGGCAAACACTGGCCATTATATGTTCAACGGTTATGCAGAAGTAGCAGTGAACATTTTAGCCTCATTTGTAGTAGAACACAAGACTTGGATTTTACTCTCCACCTTTTTCACATGAAATTTTTAACACTGTTTTTGGAAATTTTCTGGAGGTAGGCATTATTATTCTGCCTCACTGTTCCTACATAGATCCCAAAGAGCTTTACAAAGCAGGGAAGTAGTAGTATTCCCATTTCACCACTAATATTATGGCTAAAACAAGTTTTTAGGTTTTGGTGCAGCTCTCTAAGCTCCCTGGGAACAGATCCTCATTCCCCGCTTATGTATTTTGAGTGTGCAAGAGCACCCTGATACAACGTCCATATTTGCCAAACTGAATAAGCTAAAAACATCAAACAGGGCTTGAAGGGATTGACCTTTAAAGAAAGATTAAAGAGGAAAATGTATGTTTATATTTGGCTGAAGGATGTCTGGTGGAGGGAAAATAAGCTTCTAAATACTGAGAAGTGAGTTTACTTAGGGGAGTACAAGGGGAGAACACCACTGTGGGAGTAATGGAATGAAATTAAGAAATGGAAAATTTAGGTTCCATAGTATGGAAAAAATATTATCAGCAAAATCTGTTAGACTGAAGAATAATTTTTAAGGGAAGGAGTAGGAGCACCATTGCATAGATCCTGGAAACCTAAAACGAAAAAAATAAAAAAAGGAACATTAGGAAACAAATTGCAGGGAACATTCCTTACTGAATGGAGCTGGACTGTGTGCCCTAAAACTTCCTTTTAATCTCTAACCCTTTCCATGGATGTAAGGCATTCATATAACATCGCTTGATGTCTCATTCGCTTTCCGTGAAGAAAAGTATTTCTAGAGCACTAATTCCTGATAAAAGGGCCAATCAAAATTGGAAGCAGCATTGCAATAATACTTGAAGAGCAGCGTCTTCAAAGTTTCCCTACGGGAAATGAGAATTGCTTTTGGAGCAGGAAGGAGAGTTGGCCCCCAGGCCTACAAAGATCCTGATATTGTGGGTGTGACAGGGGCAAACTCCCAGTCCTGGTCACGGTGCCGGCCCACTACCCGTCTTTTGGCAAGCCACTCACCTTATTGTCTGCCACGCCTTGTTGTTAAATAATTATGATGTTGATTAGGCAAGAAGCTACCCTTCAAGCACCCTGCTGTTCACAGGCAGTAAACACGTGACTCCTACCTCCCCCTATCATGTCCCATGCCTCACAGATGTTCCCGTGAGTTGTGCTATGCTCTGGCTTGAAGCTGGGCCCAACTTAGTTCAGTATTAGGCCTCTCTTGTACTGCCCTATACAGGGTCTCAGACATACCGCCTCCCTCTCACTAGGGCCTCTAGCAGTCTGCCTGCGCTCACCAGGCCTCTTCCACTCATGCCCCCTTTTGGGACCCATTCACTCTGCCCTGCTCCCTTGAACGACCCCGGAGCTCTATCAGGCTTGACTCTGCACTCCTCGGCCAGCCCTAGTGCAGTCTCTTGGGCCTTTCCCATGACCCTGATCTGAACGGTGGCTGGACAATTAGCCAAATACTGGGCCAACTCCATCCCTGGCCCTCACCGAGTAACACAGCCCACTGGGTCTCAATTTGGGGCTAGTGACTTGCCCCTTTCATTCGCGAGACTATATGCCACCTCTCACTGCCTCAGGCCCACTTG